TTTCCATTTTTGTTCAACTGCAGGTTTTTAAAGATAGCTTCATGGCATTTCTCTTTTAGTTTGAGTAGATGGTTATTTGAAATTTGTTTAGTTTGACTTTATATACGTCAATGGGAGTTTGTAGTCTAATTATGTATCTTTTTTTTTTTTTTTTTTTTTTTTTTAGACGGAGTCTTGCTCTGTTGCCCAGACTGGAGTGCAGTGGCGTGATCTCGGTTCACTGCAAGCTCCGCCTCCCGGGTTTTCGCCATTCTCCTGCCTCAGCCTCCCCTGTAGCTGGGACTACAGGCGCCCGCCATCACGCCTGGCTAATTTTTTGTATTTTTAGTAGAGACAGGGTTTCACCGTGTTAGCCAGGATGGTCTCGATCTCCTGACCTCGTGATCCACCCGCCTCGGCCTCCCAAAGTGCTGGGATTACAGGCTTGAGCCACCGCGCCCGGCCTATGTATCTTTTTAAATAGAGAATACTAATTTAATAATAGGCTATAAGAACACACTGGAGATTATACTGTGAAATAAAACAAAATGGAAAAAAATTATTATTCCTTTATAGCAGAAATTTGCTTAAAATCAGAAGTTAATTCCTAAGATTTAGAAATTTGTTAACAGTATTTGCATCTAAATTTGTTATGTAAAGCATTCTTTAAGTTTTTTTAATGATAAACCCCTACCTCACAACTTTTTACTTTGATAAATTTCAAATATACAAAGGTTACAAGAATAGTACAGTAAGCATACCATACATTTTTCACCTAGATATTTATTACTAACATTTTACCACTTTTCTTTTTCTGCCAAACCATTTGAGAGACAGCAGGCATTATGACACACCCCTAAATACATAGATTCAGCATGTGTCTCCTAAGAACAGGGACATACTATAATACAGCCATAATTGTCACTTTAAGTTATTTAACACTGTTCATAGAATATATATTCCTATTCCTATTTTCTTATTTTCCTGTTAATGTACTTTGTATCTTTTCTTCCCCATTCAGGACCCAGCCAAGGACCATACATTGCATTCAACTCAGGCTGAGTTAGTCTCCTTTATTCTAGAACTGTTCCCTAGCCTTTTTTGGGGTGAGAAGGGGTGCTGTTTTTGGTATCTTTTGTGATATTTTTGTTTTTATTTTGCAGAATGTCCCTTAATTTTGATTTGCCGACTGTCCAGTTATTACTAGATTCAGGATTTTTGGCAAGATTACTGCATGGGATACTGTGTTCTTCTTTGGGCATGCTATCAGGAGACTTCTGAAGCCATAAGTTTAATATTAAGTTTGATCACAGGTTAAGGTGATGTTCTCGCATTTCTACACTGTACTAGTACTTTTATCTCCAGTATAATATATGGGGGAAATATATTGTTAGTATGTGGTTTTAGCATCCACTGATTATTTTTGTCTACTGTTACAGTGGTGATTGCAAAATAGTGAATTTTATAATTCTCTCATTTCTTCTGCATTTATTGGTTGGTATTCATCTTTAAAAAAAGAAGAGTTCCCTCTCCTTACCCCTTTATTTAATATCATTTTTTGACTGATGTGTTCACTTTGTATTTATTTTTTTGAAACAGAATCTTGCTCTGTTGCCCAGACTGTAGTGCAGGGGCATGATCGCAGATCACTGCAACCTCTGCCTCCTGGGTTCATGCAATTCTCCTGTCTCAGTCTCCCGAGTAGCTGGACTACAAGTGTGTGCCACCACGCCCGGCTAATTATTGTATTTTTAGTAGAGACGGGGTTTCACCATGTTGGCCAGCCTAATCTCAAACTCTTGACCTCAAATGATTCACTCACTTCGGCCTGTCAAAGTGCTGGGATTACAGGTGTGAGCCACCGTGCCCGGCCAGGGTTCACTTTATAAATTTAATATGCTATCATTCATTACTGTCATACTTTTCATACGCAGGTTATGCCAGCTTTAACCATGGGAGCCCTCAGATACTATCTTTGAATCATCTGAAGAATTTCTTCTAATCGCATATATGTAGAAAAATAAGTTTGACTTTAAAATCTCCTTTTCTATTTACATTTCTGTAAATCCACATAGACTTTTCTCCTGTTCATATTGTGATCAAAAGAAAGATTTTTGTAGACCCTGGCAAGATTCTGCCATTCAATTGGGGCCAACGTAATTTGAATGACTGCTTCCCTATAACTGCTTAGAAGGTTTTAGTTATCACTTCTTATCATGTAGAAGCTTACTTTAGATTTTTTTCCAGTTGCAATTGATTTTCCTGTCTTTTAGGTCTAGGGGTAGGGTGGGTGTCAGAGACATATTTTAACTGTGTTTTTTGTGGTCAGTTTAGGAGTTGAGCCTGTACTGTATATAATACTTCCACTCAAAAGGATCCCAAACAGAAAAGGAAATGTGATGTAGTTGACAGTACTCCTGTAGAAATTGGTGAAAGGAGTGCTGGCAGTGTGACCAAAACAATCCTTGCTAAAATACCTGGGAGGAGTTGCTGAGACTGATTTTTAGAGGGATTTTTTTTTCTTGAGAAACATTTGGGTATATTATTATTTAAGACATCACCCAGCACCCAGGCTGGAGTGCACTGTGACATGATCACAGCTCTCTGCAATCTTGAACTGCTGGACTCGAGCAACCCTCCTGCCTCAGCCTTTGAGTAGCTAGGTGTACACGTGTGCACCATCACACCCAGCTAGTTTTTTTGTGTGTGTGGATACTGGGTCTCACTGTGTTACCCAGGCTGGTCTCAAACTCCGGACCTCAAGCTCTCCTCTCGACTTGGCCTCCCAAAGTACTGGAATTACAGGTGTTAGCCACCATACCAGGACTTGAGGCTGTTTTTTCTTAAGGTTTAATATACTTCTTATCTGTGTATGTAGTTGATGCTGTACAAAACAGCGTATGACTATCATGCCTTACTTTTAAAATATTCTCTTGGCCTTTGACTTTGGGGCAAGATCTAGCTATGGGCCAGTAAAGCAATCTGAGCCCATTAATGATTCTTAAATCATGATGCTGTAGAGAGAAGTAGGATCTGGAGGCAGTCACTGGAAAGATGAGATAATTTAGAATTCTCTTAAAATTGTTGTGTCTTTATTGCTTAGTTTTTAACTTGTCATTGTGGCTTCCACTGTTTTTGAGATGAACTGGATTCATGTCCCCGCTTTATAGACGTAGAAAGCGTAGATAGTCTCCCCTCCACCGATAGTTTAAGTATCCCCTCCGTCATTAGTTTCAGTGTTATGAACTGATGGGCTCAGCACAAAAGAGGGCAAAGGATAGAGGGTACAAACAAGGGAAGAGACATTGCTTGTTTCAAATTACTGTCAACGGAAAATAATAGAGAGCTTTAAAAAGACCCAAGCTGGCCAGGTGTGCTGGCTCATGCCTGTAATCCCAGCACTTTGGGAGGCTGAGGTGGGAGGATCCCTTGAGGCCAGGAGTTCGGGGCTAGTCTGGGCAACATAGTGAGACCCCATCTCTACAAAAAATGAAAAAAAAAATTAGTTGGACATGTTGCACGTCTGTGGTCCCAGCTACTTGGGAGGCTGAGATGGGAAGATGGCTTGAGCCTGGGAGGTTGAGGCTGCAGTTAGCTATGAATGCGCCACTGCACTCCATCGTAGGTGATAGAGTGAGGAGACCCTGTCTCTAAAAAGAAGAAAAAAAAGTAAAAAGACCGAAGCTTATGCTAACACCAGACATGTGAAAGAAGTGGTACAGCAGAAGCAAGAGGTATTAAAGGTTACTTAAGCCTGTTGGTATACACTGCTGCTCTGTGTTAGAAGTAGATTCTAAAGACGTACTAGTGTTCGACTAGCATGTTTTAGACCATCTTAGAAGTGTTTACATCTTGCTGGGTATTTGGTAAATGGGACTGAATGTGTATTATTAATGTGAAGGAAATTTTTTCTTGTAGTCAGCATGGTTTAAGATTGGATGTAATACTGAAATATTTATGGATGAAATTATGACTGGGTTTGCTTTACAGTGAACTGTTGGTTGGTGAGAGGTGGTATGGGGAGAGGTTTCAGATGAAGTAAGAATGTTTTTAAGGTTTTTTTTTTTAATAACAATGTTTTTAAAAAATTGAATGAAAGACCTCAAATCAACCTTTCTCAGTGGGTTCCTTGAGAGAATTAAGCTCTAATTTCCTAAGGCATCTAATGTGAGTAATGAATTAATTTATTTACTGGCAGCCACAATGGTACTAGTTTTGTATTCTTGGGAGAATTGAGAAAGTAGTCATTTTTTGTGTGTTCTGTAGTTTGAAAGGAGGAAAATTGGTGAGAAGAGTTGGTTGAGAGTGTGGAAATACATGATTGATTCAACATTTTAAAAATGTTTTGTAATTTGACCTTTGCCCTTTACTTATTTTTTAAATAAATACGTTATTTTTTTTCGAGACAGGATCTTGCTCTGTCTGGAGTAAAGTGGCACGATTACAGCTCACTGCAGCTTCTATCTTCTGGGCTCAAAATATCCTCCCATGTCAGCCTCCTGAGTAGCTGGGGCTACAGGCGCATGCCACCACTCCTGGCTAATTTTTGTATATTTTGTAGGGATGAGATCTCGGTATGTTGCCTAGGCTGGTCTTGAACTCCTGGCCTGAAGTGACCCTTCTGCCTTGGCCTCTCAAAGCTCTGGGATTGCAGAATTGGCCTCGTTTATTTTATACATACAAATTTTGAACTTCAGTTTTTCTTTCTTTCTTTTTCTCCCCTTCCTTCTCTCCCTTTCCCCTTTCCTTTCTTTTTCCATCCTCGTCCTTTCTTTCTTCTCTGTCTTTCACAGGGTCTGGCTCTGTTGCCCACGCTGGAGTGTAGTGATGTAGTCATAGCTTACTGCAGCATTGAACTCTTGATTTGAAGTGATCCTCCTGCCTTAGCTTCCCAAGTAGCTGGGACTAAAGGCGTGAGTCACCACATCTGGCCTTGAACTTCACTTTTTGAACATGATGGAAGTACCATGTTGTAAACATATACTAAAACTGTTGGAAAATGTGGTTTTCTTTCCAATTAGGTACAGTCTGAAAATACAGCCTGTTGAGAAAATGCATCTAGCTGTAGTTGCCTGTGGTGAAAGACTGGAAGAAACTATGACCATGTTGAAGTCAGCTATCATTTTCAGCATGAAACCTCTTCAATTCCATATTTTTGCTGAAGATCAGCTCCATCATAGCTTTAAAGACAGAGTAAGTATTTGAGACGTAGTCAAGGTTGTACAGTTGAATATTTAATAATACACTATAATAGAATGTTGTTGTAATAGTCTGTTTTCACATTGCTAGAAAGAACTACCTGAGACTTGGTAATTTATAAAGAAAAGAAGTTTAATTGACTCACAGTTCAGCATTGCTGGAGAGGCCTCAGGAAACTTAGAGTCATGGCAGAAGGCAAAGGGGGAAGTAAGGCATGTCTTACATGGCAGCAGAAGAGAGAGAAAGAGAAAGAACACCACACTTTTAAACCATCAGATCTCATGAGAACTGATGGTTATCACGAGAACAGTAAGGGGGAAACAGCCCTCATGATCAAATCATCTCCCACTAGGTCCTTCCCTCGACACATGGGAATTACAGTTCGAGATGAGATTTGAGTGGCAACGCAGAGCTATACCATATCAGTTGTTTTATTTCTTCACTGCACAAAAATATTTGTTCTGTAACACCACCCTTTTAAAGTGGGGAGTGCTCCTTGAACCACTTCCATCTGAGTCCAGGTCTAAGGTGAAAGAGGAAGGTTCATTTTTGAACGGCGGTGGGCTACTTAAAAGTAAGTTCTTGGTGAAACATGGAGGTTTTATTTTAGTGACTCTAGTTCCAGGATGCTTTGACTAAGAAGTTCTATGATTTATTTTGTCTGTATCCTTTCCTTGGGAGTGCCTGAATCAGAGCTTATATAAAGGTTTTAATCCTGTTTTGAGAGGAGAGAATTCTTGATTAATAATATGGCAGGAAGTGGCTTCTGGTTCTGATAAGTAAGTTATTTATTTTGGTTTTGTATTAGTTAAAATCAATTTGGCAACAGTGGCAGAAAACCCAAAATAACAGTGGCTTAAACAGGATTTAAGTTTATTTCTCTCTCCCATGAAAGTAGGTTGTCTGGATTATATGGCAGTTCTTTATCTTCAGATACTCTGGCTTCATCTGACTGTGGCTAAGCCATTTTCAACATGAGGCTTCTGCTTGATGGTCCATGATGACTACTTGGACTCCAACCAGTGCACCCATATTCTGTTCAACTTGAGGACAGGGAGTGAAAAAGGGCAGTATCCTTCTCTTAAGGGTACTTTCTAGAAGTCATTGTGACATTTCTGCCAGTATCCCATTGGTCTGAATTTAGTCATATGACCATACCTAGCTGTTACAATGGAATATATACTCTTTAATCAGGCAGGTCAGCCTTGTAACTTCCTTAACAAAAACAACAACAACAACAACAACAACAAAATATTACTAAACAATAAGAGAACAGATACAGGCAGAAGAAAACATATAAGAAAAAGAAAATTCACCTGAAATCTCACTACCTTTTGTTCTGAGATGGTGGTAAAGGTGATGCTAATGATCATTCATATTTTTGTTCTCCTCCCTCTCTATCGTCTGTTTGCATCTGTCTACTTAAGCTTTTAAATTCATTTGGATTTTTATGCTTGGTCTAACTGTAAAAAATATATTTGATGTTTTTTCAGGTTAAATCAGTTCATTTTGCATATTTAGTGCAAAAATACTAGTTATGAGCTCAGATCGTTTAGTTTTCTGCCAAAAACGTCTATACCTTTTAGTTTTTGGCAGAAAACTAAAAGGTGTAAAAGTTTTCTTACTGTTTAAGTGGTATATGAAAGTATACGTTTTTACTTATTGTTTAAAAATATTTTTAGTGTCTATATTTTTGTTAGATAATTTTGTGAACTTGGTCTCTATCTGGATTGTTTTTTAAAATATTGAGGAATTAATCTTGTCCTAGGGGTTAAGAGAATAGTAATAGACTGCTGCCACTTATGGAAATCTTTGAAAATGTAATAGAAAAGTAAAACATTTATTGCATTATCTTAGATGCAGCCTCTGTGTTGTGTTTACACCTGGCTGAATTGTTTGTGTAACGTATACTATATTTTTAAACTTAGTTTTCCTTTGACTGTAATCATCACTGAGAATGTTTGGTTTTGCTTTTGATGAAAGTATATCAAATATTTTATGGAACATGCTTTTAGTACATGAAAGAACACTGTTACATGTTAAAGTGACTAAGATTTTATTTTGAAGTTGGTATTGAAAAGATCTTTAAGTGATTAATAAGTGGAGCCAGGAAATTACAGTGCTAGTATTTTAAAATAATTCGTAGATAGCTGGGTGTGGTGGTGTGCACCCGTAGTCCCAGCTACTTGAGAGGCCTGAGGTGGGAGGACCACCCGAGCCTGGGAAGTCAAGGCTGCAGTGAACCATAATCATGTTACTGCACTTCAGCCCAGCCTGGGTGACAGAGTGAGACCCTGTCTCAAAAAAATAATAAAATAAAATAAATAAAATAAAATAATCAGAGACACCAAAGCAGAGTGTTGGAAGTAAAGGCATTCCCTTAAACTATGTTGGAAGATACTGTTTTAAAAATGACTTAAACACAATCATAATTCAAAAGAGATCATATTCAGCCTGTACATAAACTACTTAGTTTTTCCCCCCAGAGATTGTTTCTTACTGCTCTTTAGGAAATTTGAATCAGTAATTCTGTTGAAATAAGAATGAGAGATATTACTTAAACTGAATTTGAAACAATTCAGTATCTTGAAATCCATTTAGGGTACTAAGTGTAAACATGTTCATCATAGATTTTCAGATATATTTTGCTTTTTGTAGTAATTTTTTTTAAATTGGCATTGGCTATGTATTTATCAGAATATTTTATTATCAGAAATATTCAGGCATATTAAAGCTATGAATTGATGGACAAATTTTTTAATTAGTTTCACATTTGGTGTGACTTTGAATGGAAGCATCTGTCATATATACGGTGGTAATAAAATTAGTGCTTAATTTTTCTGATTTTAGCTTGTTAATGGGTTAAGAGAATTTATACATTAGGTAAAGCTGAGGAAGACAAATTTGCAAGGGTCTTTCACCTTTCTGATTTGGGGAGTTGGACCCTGATAACTTTCATTATGCTTCAGATCTTAATGGTGAAGTCTTTCCAGGATCTTATTTTGATTTTTAGATTTTAAATGAAAACAAATACCATAGTGGAACAGAAGAATCTTTCCCTTAATTTTACAGCATAAAATGTATATTATCTTAATTTTTAGCTGTTTTGTTTTATAATCTGTTGTTTTATGATTTTGCAGAGAAAATTCAGGGTGAAACTATACTGGTTTTTTGTTTTTTAATTGTTTTAGCTTGACAGCTGGTCATTTCTACAAACATTTAATTATACGTTATACCCCATAACCTTTCCAAGTGAGAATGCAGCAGAGTGGAAAAAACTCTTTAAACCATGTGCTTCACAGAGATTGTTCTTGCCGGTAAGTTTTTTCCCCCGGTGTCCTTTTTTTTTTTTTTTTAAATTTGAACCTCACTTTTACACATATGAGTCTCTGAAGAGTTACATATAATTCCAGTTAAATAATTAAATTAATAAATAGAAATCAATACGGGTACTATTTGCCTTTTGAACATGAAAAAATATTCCTATGGAACAAGTAAAATAAAAACCCTGTTAAGAATGAAAAATTTTTAGTAATTTCTGTTGAGATACCAGTTTAATATATTCAGTTGTGTGGAACTCTTTTATCTATAAGAAGGAATAGAGGTTGCCAGGTCTTAATGGAGCCAAGTCTGTTGCCAGCAGAAGTGCAGTGGCGTTATCACCTTCAACTTGTAGGCAGCATTTCGAGTTTGAGAAATGAGATAGAGTGCATCATTAAATAGCAATTTGTGTCTTATACCAAGCCAATTTATCTATTGTAACTGATACTTAAACAGAAACAAATTTAAGGCATATGAACTGAAAGGGGAAATGGGAACTATTTATTCAGTGGGGCTGTTCTTTGGTAGTGTTCTATGGTGATAAACCTTGATTTTGTTTTTTTTTATATACAAATGTTCTGAAGCAAGGTTACGTCTTTAATTTTGATTTGATTTTACCCAGTTTTAAAATTCACAGTTGTTTAGACCATTATGATACTTAAATACTTACAGTTTTGCAGCTTAAACACATAGAGAATACTTATGGTAGAAATATTGAATTTAAGAAGCACACAAGTTTCCAGAAAGTATATAAATTATGGGGAAGAACCTTCAGTTACTTCTTATTGCTAAGTGGATTAAGGCAATCCCTAGCTTATTAAGAAAATGGTTTATTGAATCCAGGATATCTGTAAGATTAAGTTATAATATTGATAAACAAGTCTGCCTAAGCAGTATCTTTGTTGCTCTGCCTTAAAAAGTTGTGTCCTAGGATCTTTCTCTTCCATTTTAAAAAGCACACAAATAAGGGATTAAGATTGGTTAAAAAAATATGTTTTAGATACTTCATGTAGGTTTTATTTTAAGTAAGTTTTATATTGAATGATTGCAGTGTCATTTAATTAATGTGTGAGTGCCTAGTATTTGTCAGTCATCTATATTGAAATGCTGGGTATGTAGGAATGAATAGAATACACAGGTTTCCTGTTTTCATAGAGCTTGTTATCTGATGTGGGAGACAGACATTAAATAATCACACAAATGTATTGAAAAAACAATAAGAGATGAAAGAAAGACGTGAGGTTATGGCCATTTCTCTGCCATTTTGTTATGGTACTTTATTAATACTTGGAACCATGGCACTTTTTAGCACTTTATTAACAAGTTTATTATTGATGTTGTTATATGAAATTTGCCAGATAATTTAATGATGTAATCTAGTTAAATCCCTAAATGGAATTTTAAGTACAAGAACTACTTGAAACCTGTCAAATTGACCTCATACTTTACTGTTACTTCTAATCTTTTTAACCAGATTTAAGTAAATTGGTGCTTTATTTTTTTATAGTGATAAACTTTTTTGCTGAGTTTTTCTTCCTTTAAAATAGATGCATGAAAAGAACTAATGTAAACTGTACCAATGCCTTCTTCACCTGAAAGGAATCAGAACTATACATAGGTGATTATTATTTAACCATATGTGTGATTTCCAGCTGGTAGTGGCTCCCAGCATTGAACTTGAAGCTTTATGCAGATTCTTCCTACTCTGCTAACAATATAGTAATCTGTAAACAGATGTGACACAGATGTAGAATGTTGCTATTAAAAACAATTCTCACTTCACCACCCCTCAAAAAAGTGAGACAGACATACAGATTCCATCCCCTCACACACACCTTTTTTTTTTTTTTTTTTTTGAGACAAAGTCTTGCTCTGTTGCCTAGCCTGGAGTGCACTGGCGCAGTCTCGGCTCACTGCAACCTCTGCCTCTCGGACTAAAGCGGTTCTCCTGCCTCAGCCTCCTGAGTAGCTGGGATTACAGGCATGTGCCACCGCACCTGGCTAATTTTTGTATTTTCAGTAGAGACAGGGTTTTGCCATGTTGGCTAGGCTGGTCTCGAACTCCTGACCTCAGGTAATCTGCCTGCCTCAGCCTCCCAGAGTGCTGGGATTACAGGTGTGAGCCACCATGCCTGGCCACAGATTCCCTTTTAGTTGAGGTCTTTGACCAAGTGTACTTTCCCTACTCAGGCCCTGCAGTCAACCATCAGTTTTTTTTCCCCAGCCTGATGTTAAATCCGCTGATAGATAAGGGAGGAATGAGGTGATTTCAGCCTAGTAGCTGCTCATGAAGGTGATGGCTTTAGTTGCAGGAGGAAGTAGCAGCTTTGAAAAGTAGCAGAACTAGGATCAAGCTCCTATTATATTCTTAACTAAAAAGGTTTAGATTCACCTATTTATTGAATCTTACTAATAGACCAGGATAGGCAGTAAATTTAAATTTGTAGGAGTCAGAATCTAAAGTTCATGGGTAAGGCAGAAATGAAAAATTATCCTTGGTTGGGCGCAGTGGCTCGTGCCTGTAACCCCAGCACTTGGGGGACGCCGAGGTGGGTGAATCACTTGAGGTCAGGAATTTGAGACCAGCTTGACCAACGTGGTGAAACCCCGTCTCTACTAAAAATACAAAAAATTAGCCGGGTGTGGTGGTGCATGCCTGTAATCCTAGTTCCTCAGGAGGCTGAGGTAGGAGAATGGCTAGAACCCAGGAGGTGGAGGTTGCAGTGAGTTGAGATTGCGCTACCGCACTCCAGCCTGGGTGACAGAGTGAGACTCTGTCCCAAAAAATAAAAAATAAATAAATAAATTAAATAATTATCCTTAAAGTTCCCCAGGGAAGTCACATGTTGGAGATTTATCTCTTAGAAAGTGCAACATAGCCGGTCTTTCTTCTAAGTCAAGCCTTTACCCTTGCTAGGTGCACATTTTGTTTTGATTCATTGGGAGACAGCCTGGAAATAAGAGCATGGACTCTGAATCTGGGTTGTCTGGGTTCCAGTTTGACTCTACCACTTACTAGTTGAAACTGAAATGATGTAAAGATGCCAGTGTTACAGGCCAAGGGGAATAAGTTCAGAAGATCTTTATTTGTATTGGTTTATTTCTGTATTTATCTCAGGAAATTAGGATTCAAGATATAAATTTACCTAAGCTAATATTATTGCCCATTATGAAAAACATTTCCTCCCTGATCTTTGAAGATTTGGTATTCTCTCAGTTTTTATAATTGAGTATTTGTTTTGGTTTGCTTTTATATCTTCTCAGTTTTTATAATTCTCTCAATTTTTATAATTGAGTGTTTGTTTTATATTCTCTCAATTTTTTATTCTCTCAATTTTATATTCTCTCAATTTTTGTAATTGAGTATTTGTTTTGGTTTGTTTTTATATCTTCTCTGAAAGTTAATGTGAAGGTTAGCATAGTATCTTTATATATATGCTATTGTTAAAAATGACAGATTTGGGAAAGATTACCTTAAAATAATATAAATTAGCTAATCTCTTAGGTGTATCTTATACAATTAGAGGTGCTTTTATGTTTCTTTTTAAAATAGAATTATAGTTAATCATTCAAATATCTCTCCTTGTAGTTAATCCTGAAAGAAGTTGACTCACTATTGTATGTCGACACTGATATCCTTTTTTTACGACCAGTTGATGATATTTGGTCTTTACTAAAGAAATTTAATTCCACACAAATTGCTGCAATGGCACCAGAACATGAGGAACCTCGAATAGGATGGTATAATCGCTTTGCTAGGCATCCATACTATGGAAAAACTGGAGTAAACTCTGGAGTTATGTTGATGAATATGACTCGAATGAGAAGGAAGTATTTCAAGGTAAGTCACTAATACGGGTAGTTGTTAACATTTCTCTAAAAACCTTCTAAATTGTTGGCTTTTCAATTTAGTTTTTAATTGATAAAGAATTTTTCTATTTAGAATAATCTAGAATATTAGAGGAATCTAGATATCTAGATTTATCTAGAAGTGTGTTCATATTCTGTTTAACAGCATTACAATAGGTCAAACCAGTTGACATGACAATGAAGTAAAACAACAGTGCACTAAGTCGTGAACATCATCTCCCTAGATTGCCATTCCAGGAAGCAGATGTTATTTTGTAGTTGTACATTCATAGAATACATAGAATCTAAATTATGATATACCTTAGGGACAACATGGAGTTGCAGTTAAGAGCATAGACTCTGCAACCTGTTTGTTCTCAACCTGTAAAATGGAAATGATAGCACTACCAATGTCTTGGGACTTTTGGGAGGAGTAAATGAGTTAGAACAGTGGCTGACACATAGTAAATGTTATCTATTACGGTGTTATTGGAAGTTAACTTTAAAAATTCCTGCATGTTTCCAGTATTTCAAATTGTGGGATCAGTAGAAAAGTCAGACTATTTAAATTCTCTGAGTGTGCATTTAGACGACATCAGTATGTGCTACCATTTACCAGTTTTATGTAGATTAGTTTTATATCTAAATTGCAAGTCACTGTAGTTTGCTTGCTCTGGAATCAAACTGGCTTTCTGTGTAGCTTTGCCTCTTGTGCAGTACTTAACTACTAGCCATTTAGTTAACTTTCAAGTATAAGTTCTCTCAGCTGAATAAGATAATAAACAGACTTAACTAAGTTAATTTAAAAGAGATCTGTTGAAAATTCTTAGTAGATCCTGGCATGAAGTAAGCATTAAAATGTTAGCTAAAAACAGTGACTTCTGAGCAAACACTGTTCCCTCTAGGAGTATAGACTTACCTGTTTATTCCTTTATGTCTTATTAGGACTCAGTTAAACATTAAGGGATATCATGTCTTTTATGGTATGAGTATATGTGTACATTTATATGTATATATTTTTGTCATGTATTTTTGATATGGTATCTGGTGGGATGGAATTTATTCTTCCTACATGTCTGATTTAAGCCTTTGCCTCATTTGGAACTGTTTCCTCTTACCTTTGGTATAGGCAGCAGTACTGCTGTAGCCATTACCGTATGCCAACACTTCAGTCTTAGAAGTCTGACAGCTATTACCGGTCACTGTTCTATTCTGTTGATCTGGTAAACTTAGTTTTTTTTTTAGCCTTCCCTTTTCCGAACCTTTTTAAAGTCCTGTTTTAAATTTAGTTTTGTCTCCCACAACTGATTGCATTAATAAGCCCATAATAAGCCCAGTGTTAGGTAACCTCTGCTCTTGTTTAACAGAGAACATCTCTCTTTGGTTACCAAGTTTGTTATTATATATCTTGAATTTTTAAATTTCATGTACTATAAAGTTGTACTAAATATAATAAAACTAGGATAGTAACATGATTGTTATTTTCTGATTGTTAGACTATGCACAGTGATCTTATACCAGAAGATGGTGCTGTAAGATTATCTGCAAAAAAATAATGTGACTTCTCAATAACTGCGTTTGAAATTTATGAAATTAATAGAAGTTTAGTGTTGCAAAGAACTATAGGGATAATATAACACCCTTTGATTACAACTTAAAAATAGCTATATAGTTCAAATCCATTGTTTTTAAAATTATTTTATTCTTATTTTACTTTTTTGTAGAGAACAGTCTCTACAAAAAAAAGAGTTGCCCAGGCTGGTCTTTAACTCCTGGCCTCAAGTGATCCTCCCGTGCTGGGATTATAGGCATGAACCACTGCGCTTGGCCAGATTTACTGTTTTTTTACTTACCTATTACTTATTTAAATATCATTCATAAATACTTTAATAGTTTCTCCCTTTCCCTTTTTCTTTTGTTTTTCTCTGACATGTTCTAAACTACCTAGAGATGTAGTTATGGGGGTTGGAATAATTTCTAAACTTTCAAACCTTTTTTTCTTCTGCACATTACTGACTATGAAAAAAAATACAAGATGATTGGTTGTACATTAATTCAGCAGGTATAATTTACTTCACACCTACTATTCCTATGTTACAAACAACCCTATTCTTGCTCCTTGGAACATACTCAGATTTGCTTCATTTTCAAATATTATTATACTTAGGATTGTCGAGATGGTCCTACAAAATTTATTGATTTTTAATTCCTTTTCTCATATATTTTTATTTTTCTTGATCTCTATGTCTATAGCAAACATTGTCTTGGTTTTTTTCCTGCCATCTACAGTTTCTAGCACAGGACTTAAATTTTAGAAATTTAGCAATATAACTGAGTTACTTATAATTGCTTTCCAAACGGTTTTATACAGATTGGCGACTATTGCTTCATGGTTCTTAACCCATGTACAGCCACAATACAAATTTAGAACAAAGGTCATAGTTTAAGTTATTTATTTGTTTTGCTGTCACCTGGTTCTTACCACTCATGGCTGTTCATTTCCAACCTGATGTATTATAGTTATGTATATTAAAAAGTTAAAATAGGACCAGGTGTGGTGGCTCAACGCCTGTAATTCCAAGACTTTGGAAGGCTGAGGTGGGCAGATCACTTGAGGCCAGGAGTGTGAGACCAGTCTGACCAACACGGTGAAACCCCATCTCTACTAAAAATAGAAAAAATTAGCTGTGCATAGTGGTGCATGCCTGTATTCCCAGCTACTTGGAGGCTGGGACAGAATCACTTGAACCAGGGAGCAGTGAGCTGATATCACGCCACTGCACTCCAGCCTGAGTGACAGAGCTACAGTGTGAGTGAGACTCTTTGTCTCAAAAGAAAAAAAAAAAAAATTTACATTCAAATACTTTAATAATTAATTATTTAATTAAATATTTTAGTTTAAAATTAAATTAAAAATTCTTTTTAAAAAGCATATAATTTTTAATCTCATAATTGTATATTTGTTAGATAATGAATAACATTGATTAAATGATTATGTTCTATTTTGCATAATCATATTTGCAGTGTTGAATCCCTGTTAGGGTATTTATTTTCTTTCCTTCTAAAAAATGTATTACTGTATTTCTTAATCTTTTCCTGTTTATTAGAGAAAAACCAAAGAGTATAAATTAGACATGGTGGGAATCTTTTCTTTGTTAGTTTACTTTGCCCTTTTCAAATGTCTGTATATTACTTTGTATTTTTTTTGTCTGTTTGCTCCACCTACTGAGGGCAGGATGTGTCTTTTGTACAGCTTTTTATTAAGAATATTTAGCATGGTGTCTGACATAAAGTAGCAACTTGATAGATAATTGCTAGCAAAGGAGAGTCAGATGAAGGTTTTAGAAACTAGGCCATGAATGAATTATTGAAAAATACTGGAAAAGAGAACACTGTGTGTGAAGTAGTTACAGTGTTTTTACATATTTGTAAGATGTATGTGATAGAAGACTTTTCTTGTGTTAGTACATAGCTTATGAGAGCAGAATAGTAACAATGTACATCTTGCCAAAGGACTTTTTAAAGTGAAGTAACTAGTCTTTGGGAATTGATGAGTTCCCACTTTTTTGTTGGATGCTCTTTAATTTTATATGTATGTATAGGACAGGCTGATAATGATAGTCCATACATTTTCAAAGCATGCTTAATTTAAAAAATGAAACTAATTGATCTTAATGTAACATACATGTATTTGGTCATAGGTTTGCTAAATTTTGTAAAATTAGAACATTTTCTGTTTTAAATGTTATGAAACTAAATTATGTTTATAAATATTCAAAAAATTCATTGTAGAATAAAAAGACAGATTTGCTCTTGACATATCTCTCCACACTTTCATGCCTTCACCCAGAGTGACACTATAAACTTGGCTGTGTGTTCTTTGGACCTTTTAAAAAGTGTATTTTGAGGCTGGGTGCAGTGACTTATGTGTGTAATCCCAGCACTTTGGGAGGCCGAGGCAGGTGGATCACTTGAGGTCAGGAGTTCGAGACCAGCCTGGCTAATATGGTGAAACCCCATCTCTACTAAAAACACAAAAATTAGCCAGACATGGTGGCAGGTGCCTGTAATTCCAGCTACTAGGGAGCCTGAGACATGAGAATCACTTGAACCCAGAAGGTGGAGGTTGCAGTGAGCCGAGATTGTGCCACTGCACTCCAGCCTGGGCGACAGAGTGAGACTCCATCTCAAAAAAAAAAAAAAAAAAAGATATTTTGAAACAAGCATATGCGTGTATTAGCATTTAGATATAGGATTCTTTTATACATTTTCAGCTTGCTTTTTTCATTTAGTAAATAGTTGACTGGTTGACTGACTTCTATGTCATTATACATAATCACATTTTTAATGTGTGTATGATGTGGAGAATGGATGATTTTATTTTCTTTTTTTGTGTGTACCTAGTATGGATATGTAGTTGTATGGCTGAAAATATATTTTAAATTTTGTATTTTCTTGACTATACTACCGGTGTGGTTAAAAATATTTTCTTAAAATTTGTAGCCATTTCTGTTTCTTCTTTTGTGAATGGCTGCTTGCCCATATCCTTTGCCCACTTCTTGGTTTTCTCTTTCTTACTCACTTGAACTCTTTTTATATGTAATGCCTCTTTATTAAACTCATTTCTCATACTTTTCATTGGTTGTCTTGGATAGTCTAGGTTATATCATTAGCAGATAATACTAGCGTTATCTCTTCTTTTCCAAATAGTTTTCTAATAGGACTTTTTTCTTTAAGGTTTTTTTCTTTTTTAATTTTTTTCCTAAGACTGCACTGGCCTCTTAATTTTGTCTTTCGTTGATTTTCTTTGAATAGATACATTTCTTGTAAGATATATATTCAAATATATATATTTGATTCATATTGGCTTTTAAAATTTAAATATATATCTATATTTCTCTGTATATTTGAATAGATAGAATCACTTGAAGACTTTAACGTGGTGTTGTACAAGGGCTCCACCAGTTCTGCCTGTTGAAAGTGTTGCTGGTTTTTGTCCTTGTGTAATTGATATTTTTCTTTTCAGAGCCTAAGAATGTTTCCTTAACATACTCAATGACTTATTTCTAAGAGTTATCTTTTCAAATTGTTTCCTTAAGTAAAACTTGTTTTAGTCGTTTTCCAGGTTAAAAAAAATTCTGGTTATAATTACTGTTTACTGTGTTCTAAGAAATTTCACACAAGGATAATACAATTGTAGCAGATCAATTTAAGTATGTGGATTTTTTTTTCCACGAATTCTGGCCTTCTCTTTTTTGAAGGATAGATTGTTTATATCATCACTGAATTTACTATAAATTATACAGTAGCTTATAACAGTGTTTCTCAAACTGTGTCAAAGAATTAATTTTTAAAAAATTTTCAGTATTTTATGAGCCAATACTTTTGTAAAAGATAGATTGCTAGAAAAATAAGTAGACATAAAACTATTCTATTAACTTGCTGTAAAAGTTTCAGAATCTTACTCTTAATTTCTGTACTTAATTACTTAATCTTATTGAGGACATAGAAAAAATTTACATATTAGCACACTATGTGAACTGCACTATGAAGAATACTGGTTTTTACTCTGGATAGTTTAAAAGGGTCACATAGATCTAAAAGGCCCAGTATTCAAGTCTACCCCTTCCACCAGGTTCTCACTGGACTCAGTTACTTGCTTCCTTAAGTATTTAACTTTGGGTTTTCAAATAACAAGTTTTGAGCATTAAAAAAAAACAAGCATTACATTCAGTATCTGAAAAAGCATTAAATTCAGTACCTTCTTTATTTTAAAAAACCGAAATATAAATTGATGGATTATTGGTATAATATTTTTATCTTATTTCAAAAGGCAGCATTGTGCTTAGTGGCTAAACAGTAGGAGCTTTCCAGTTAAAATGAAGATAAGGATATCTGTTAATATTACCATAACTTTTTTTTTTTTTTTGGAGACAGGGTCTCATTCTGTCACCCACGCTGGAGTGCAGTGGTGTGATCTTGGCTCACTGCAAACGTTCACCTCCCAGACTCGAGTGATCCTCCCACCTCAACCTTCCAAGTGGCTGGGACCACAGGCGTGTACCACCATGCGTGGCTAATATTTTGTACTTTCGGTACAGGGTTTCACCATATTGCCCAGGCTGGTCTCGAATTCCTGAACTCAAGTGATGTGTCTGCCTAGGCCTCCCAAAGTGCCGGGATTACAGGCGTGAGCCACTGTGCCTGTCACTATAACTATTAAGTAATATTTAAATGGCAGTTTTCAGCGTGGAGGAATAACAAGCTCCCATGTTAGACAAGTGAAAGAAATAGGTATAAAAAATTAGATAGGATGTAAAATTATTATTTGCATGACATATTTATATCCCTGAAAAACTCCAACCTATTAAAACTACTGTAAACATTAAGGATGTGTAATTAATTTGGCTGGGTTGAAAATTAAAATACAGAAATTGCTGCTTTTAAAAGGAGAGTCAAACTGTTTACTGTGCTGGCTGACTCCAGGGGTTCTTTCTTAAGTAACCTATATGGTCTCCTCCTGAAAACAGTGTTGATATGCCAATTAGTTGATATCCAAGAATAGGAAAATACTTTTGCTAGCAGAGTTGTAATTCTGATAGCAAAGCTTACAGTCATTAAAATGGGTTGGGTGAATCTGTTAGCTCTTCAATAGTATGAGAGGCATCAGGAGACTGGGGTCTCTTTCTTGGAGTGCAGTCGTAATATTGCCAAAGATGCCAGTCCTAACTTGCCTCCCTCTGGGACGGTGAGAGTTTATGGGACTACATACATCTGCTAGACTGGATCCAGTTATTTTCCTTAGCAAATCTTCTTTGACTTTGTATGTCATTCATGGTGCCTCTTTACAGAATTCTTTGTGTGCATTTTCTAATGTACAAGTAGCAACCTTTTAGAAGATAAAATGGAATCCTCTCAAAAGAGATAGTATACATAGGAACAAACTTGAAAGAAATTGGCAGTATATGTGTATATACACACACATATATATATTTTTTAAATGTAATAAGATAAATGAACACTTAAATAAGTAGGAAGACATATTATGTTTTTGGATAGGAAAATCCATCATAAAAAGGCCAGTTCTCTATGAGAATTTTTTACTACAGGTAGACACAAAGCTCATAAATTTCTGCTGCTTTGTTCATCTTCCCCACTCCCTCTACAGCCTTCATTTTTGTCAATCATACTGTTTTTTAGTGTTTAACTTTAGTTATGTATGCATTTTTTAACTTGATTTATCAATTTCAGAATGATCTATTTGAACTGCCAATTATAAAAGTTAAGCAAATCAATCTGAGAATAATAGCCATCATGGTAAAAAAATAATAATAGCTAACACTGAATATTTACCATGTGTCAGGTGCTATTCCAAGCACTTTAAATTTATATGTTAACAGTTTTAATCATCAACAACTCTGACGTAGGCACAGACATAGGTACCAAAACTATCTTCATTTTAAGATAAGGACACAGTTACTTTCGCTTTCTTTCCTGACTTACTAGTTTTATCACTGCCACATACAACTTCCTTTTGTTATCTTCTCTTTTACTGGACAGCCCTTCTCACATTTAGGGTTGGAAATGTCACTTGATATTGTGAGGAGTTTGCATTTCTCTTTGTGGCTTTGTAATGGTTACTGTGGGTTACTGTAATATCTTTTGAATGTTTTTATCAACAGAATGATATGACAACTGTACGACTACAATGGGGAGATATACTTATGCCATTGCTTAAAAAATACAAACTGAACATCACATGGGGTGATCAAGATCTATTGAATATCGTGTTTTTTCATAATCCAGGTAATTATCTAAATTCCTTTTATTTGCATTAAAAAATCACAGATAATACTGAGTGAAAAAGGAAAACATGCAGTTATCTGATTCTGTCTTATATTAATGATTATTGCTATTTATGTTTAAGACAGAGTAAAACTTTTCTTGAATTTTGCTTTAATTGGAAGAGATCTAAATGCCGAACATTTTTCATTAATTCTTACTTGTAAGAGCTGTATTTTTTTAACTAAAAGTTTTGCATAATGTTACATTTGTGGAATTAGGGGTATTTGCTTCATTGTCTGGTCTTCTCTTTATGTAGAAAGCCTTTTTGTTTTTCCGTGTCAATGGAATTATCGACCAGATCATTGTATATATGGAAGCAATTGCCAAGAAGCAGAAGAAGAAGGAATCTTTATTCTTCATGGGAACAGAGGTGTTTACCATGACGATAAGCAACCAGCATTTAGAGCTGTTTATGAAGCACTAAGAAATGTAAGATTTGCCTTTTCTGTTTTTTTAACTTTGTGTTTGAAAATACTTTCAAGCTAATGGTTAGTTTACAAAAATAGTACAAAGAATTTTTATACACCCTCAGCCTCATCTGTTACTAACATTTTGCCTTATTTGCTTTGTCATTGATTCTCTCTACTTTTTTTTCTGAAAACAATGTAGTTGTTTTTTCAGAAAACTTAAATTTGATTGTAAGTTGCATACATTAAGGTCTTTTACCCCTAAAAACTTCGTTGTTTTTTTTTTTTAAACTAATTAAAGGACATTCTCTTATTAACCACAGTACATATATCAAGCTAGAAAATTTAATACTGATGGAATACATTAATCTGCCATCCATATGGCTTTACTCTCTTTGAACTAGAACAGTTTCTCAGTCTTTGTCTTATATGACATTGGCATATTTTGACAATAGAGCCTCTTCACACCTTTTTTTTTATTAGAATGTTCTTCATTTTGGCCTAATGCTTCCTTACAATTAGATTCAGGATATACATATCTGCTCAGAATACTCTATAGGTGGTGAGATGTCCTTCTCAGGCTCTCATAGTCATAGTCCCCTTTGTCTGCCCCTTGCTGGTGATGTTGATTTTGATCAGTCAGTCAAAATGTCGTTAATTTTCTCCACAGTGTAGTTATTTTTCCTTTTATAAGCAGCCTATGGGGAGAACCTTTTAAAATCATGTAAATATTCTGCTTCTCATTAAAATTTTCCTACAAGATTTAGCATCTGTTGTTGGTTCTTGCTCAAAACAATCTTCACTATGTTATTTGCAAATTGATGATTGTTCAATACTAGCATTCCTTCCACATACATCATTTGACGCTTGGCATGCATCTGTAAGGAAGAGCTCTCCCTTTTGCACATATATTGACGTTTATATAATCAGTATGAACCCTTTGATACTTATTTTCTCCAGTGATTTATAATTCATTATTTCCTTCTAATTAGGTTGATGCTAAAGTTGTTCCAGATATGGCCACTGGGAGCCCCAGTGGCTACTTCTTGTGCCTCTTTGACATGTGCTCATGACTTTTTTTGAGTACCTCCTTTATTTTCTGTTCCAACAAAATATTCCAGGTTTATTTTATACTTTCCCTGCCCTACCCTTGAAATTAGTCATCTGTCAAAGGAGCTCTGCTTCCCTTTAGTAGGCTCTGGATGTTAAGCATGTTTATTGCTACCATGGTCTCATTGCTTCTGAGCTTTCTCAGTGGCAGAGCTAGGAAGTATAAGCATGCACACATGATGTTATGTGTTCACACCTGATTCTCTAATTCCAGGCCATTCTTCCAAGGCTCTTCTTTGCTTTCTTCTACTCTATATTTTATCTCCTTTCTTCCACAGTTAGAATCCTGACTTCTATCAATAACACATTTTCTCATTTGCTTAATCCTACAATTATTTAAAATAATTTCAGAAATGTTCCATTCATACCATTGTCTCCACCCCCAAACCAACTTACTCAAAATGGCTTAGGATTTGTTTTCAGTCCTTCCTCTTCCTCTCCTCTGCTCCCAGACAAGGGTGTGTACTCAATACTGTATTCATAAGTTACTTGGATTAGTTCTTTTTTTCTGATCTTTCAGTGTGATTATTTTATTCATTTGAAATACAGTTGGATTCATTTGTTTCCGTATGCTTTCAGTTTTAGTTTTTTTCCCACTATCTTTGTTGATATAATTGCATTTTTTGATAGGGGGATGTTAATACACTTCACAAAGTCAGAATTACATAAGAGTTTACTCTCATGTAACCTGTTATCTTAGCCCTCTCATCCTAACTGCCCCCTACCTCTATAGGGTACCAATTTCATTGTTTTCTGGTTTATCCTTCCTGTGTTTTTAATAAGACGAGCAGATGTGTGTATGTTTTGTAATTTCCATTTTTTTACACAAAAGGTAGTTTAGTGTATATCTTCCTTCATTCTTTGCTTTCTATACTTAAAATATTCTGGAGATATTTCTCTCTCTTAATTTTTTTTTTTTTTTTAAAAAAAACAACTGTATGGTACTGTATTTTATGTATGTACCAGAGTTTATTCAACCATTCTCTATGTTTGGACATTTTGGTAGTTTCCAGTAGCTTGAATTATAAATAATGCAGCAATGTACAGTTAGCTGTGTCATATATATATTTGTATTGTTGGAAGGTGAGTCTTCATGGTAAATTCCTGGAAGTGGGATTATTGGATTGAAATTATTACCTGTGTTCCTCCGTAGGGATTGTTTGTATTCCTGCCAATGATTTATGAGACAGTCTGTTCCCCACATCCTCATCAACAGAGTATAGTATTAGGCTTTTAAAATTTTGTCATTCTGATGGGTGAGAAATTGAATCTTAGTGTAGTTTTAATTTGCATTTCTCTTTTGAATGAAGTTTAATCTTTTTATATATTTATGAACTATTTATATATCTTTCTGGGGGTAAATTTTCTTTTAAATGTTTCACCTATACTTCTATAGGTTTTTAAAAAATAACTAATGAAACATAATTTATATGCCGCAAAGTTCACCCATTTAAAAAATATAATTCAGTAGCTTTTAGCATGTTTGCAGAATTATACAACCATCATTATTACCATGAGGGCGTTTGGGCTTTGTCACCCTCTCCTTCCTTTAATTGTTAAAAGTTCTTTGTATGTTAGGAATATTAGTACTTTTCCTGTGATACATATTGTGAATATTTTTCTACCAATTTGACTTATTGTATTTGATGCCATTCAGTTTGTATAATATTTTTCATGTAATAAGTTTATCTTTTTTTTTTTTTTCTTTTTTTTTTTTTAATTAACAACTGGGTCTTGCTCTGTCACCCAGGCTGGAGTGCAGTGGCACAGTCATGACTCATTGTAACCTCTATCCCCTGGACTCAAGCGATCCTCCCACCTCAGCCTCCTAAGTTGCTGGCACTATAGGCACGTGCCACCACACTCAGCTAACTTAAGTATTTTTTATGGAGATGGGGATGTTGCTGTGTTTCTCTGGCTGGTCTTGAATTACTGGGCTTAAGCAGTCTGCCAGCATCAGCCTCCATAGTGGCTGAGATTACAGGCATGTATCACGCAGGCTGGCGTGCAGTAGTGCGATCACAGCTTACTGCAGCCTCGACCTTCTGGGTTCAGTAGATTCTCTCACCTCACCCTCCCGAGTATCTGGGACTATAGGTGCATGTCACCAGGCTTGGCTAATTTTTGTATTTTTTGTAGAGGTGAGGTTTTGCCATGTTCGCTCAGGCTAGTCTTGAATTCCTGGGCTCAAGCAATCCTCCTACCTTGGCCTCCCAAAGTGCTGGGTTTACTGGGATAACTCACCACACCTAGCCTAACACCCCTTTTTTTTTTTTTTTTTTTTTTTTTGTTTAAAGTCGTTATCAGAAAGCTTTTTCCAATCTACACTTGGGTTACAGAACAGGTTATAGAATAATTCCTCCATATGCTGTTTCATTTATTACATTCAGACCTTTGCTCTGTTTGGAATTTACTCTTTTGTATTGGGTGAGGAATGGATACTATTTGACTTTTTTCTAAATGGCTATCCTTTTGTCTCAATACCATTTACTTGAAAAATCTATCTTTGGCTGGGTGCACTGGCTCATATCTGTAATCCTAGCACTTTGGGAGGCCAAGGTGGGCAAGCTCAGGAATTCAAGACCAGCTCAGGCAACTCCTTCAGCCCAGCAGTTTGAGACCAGCCTGGGCAACATAGTGAGACTTTGTCTTTAAAAAACAAAATAAAATAAAAGACTGTCTTTAACCAAAAGATTTGAGATACTGACATTATCATAAATTCCATTTGTAGTTTCTGACTTTTCTGTTTTGTTCCATTGGTCCGTTCATTTGTACACTAATAACACACTATTTTAATTATAAAGGCGCTTTGCTGTGTTTTAATATCTGATGGGGCTACTCCCTCTTTATAGCCTGTTTTTTTCAGTGTTTTCTTAGCTATTGTATATTTATTTTTCCATAAGTATCAAATCCATTAAAAAATCTTGTTGGTATTTTTAGGCTGGGCACAGTGGCTCACGCCTGTAATCCCAGCACTTTCGGAGACTGAGGTGGGCGGATCACCTGAGGTCAGGAGTTGGAGACCAGCCTGGCTGCCAAAGTGCTGAAACCCCGTCTCTACTAAAAATACAAAAATTAGCTGGGCATCATGGCACGTGCTTGTAATCCTAGCTACTCGGGAGGCTGAGGCAGGAGAATTGCTTGAATCTGGTGGGTGGAGGTTTCAGTGAGCCGAGATCGCTCCATTGCACCATAGCCTGGACAAGAAGAGCGAAACTTTGTCTCAAAAAAAAAAAAAAAAAAAATTGGTATTTTTATTGGGAGTGTATTAGCTTCATATATTAACTCAGGGACTGCTAACGTTTTGATGGTGTTGAGACATCCCAACTAAGAACAAGGGCTGTCTTTACATTTGTCTTTTAGGAATGTTTTATAGCAAGCCTGTCCAGCCTGTGGCCAATGGGCCGCATGCAGCCCAGGACAACTTTGAACGTGGCCCAACACAAGTTCGTGAAGTTTCTTAAAACATTATGACATTTATTTTGTGATTTTTTTTTTCTTAGCTCATTATTGTTAGCGTTAGTGTATTTTATGTGTGGTCCAAGACAATTCTTCCAATGTGGCCTAGGGAAGCCAAAAGATGGACACCCCTGTTTTACAGGTTTTTTCCTGTAGGTTTTGAATATAACTTAAGTTTATGCTTAAGTATTGTCTTTCTGTTGCTTTCGTAAATAAAGTTTTGTCTTTTAAGCATTTGCTTTAAAAGTTTGGAAAAAAATTATACTGCCCCTCTTTCCCCCATCCCCCAATTGTCTGTTTTCTCTTTTCTTCATGTTCTCATTAGTTACCTTTTATGTAATTAGGGTGGATTGATGGGGGACATGATTAATACTTCATATACCTCTCGATGGGTGCATGAACCATATCTCTGTGAATGTTAAGGACCAAGACTTGGGGCAAATTCAGGGGAGGTTTGGATGTATGCTGTTACTTAACAAGTTGTATCACTATCTAGGTTAGCTGTTTCACTGTTATTAAGGAAGAAGTATTAATACATGTGATCACGCAACTCTCATTTAGATATGCTGTCTGTTCTGCTAGACTGTTTAATCTTACATGGGTGGAAACAAAGCAAATAATGGGAGTGCTACTTTGGTTTAAATGTGGGGGTCAGGAGAAAAGCCGATGACCCCTGTTTACTAGGTTCTCATTATTTGATAGTGTGAAATCCTCTGGTCTGTATAGCCTCATCGATAGCAGTGAGAATAAAAACACGTAACTACAATCCATGGTGACAGAGATTGTTCTAGAACTGTGAAACAGAGTGTCTCAGTTTTGCCTTGAAGGGCCAGGGAATGCCTTCTTGAAGAGGAGGCTTTTGAAGTGGGCCCTGAAGAATAAGTAAGAGTTTGCCAGGTGGGTGGAGGCAGTCTGGGCTGAGAACTGCCTGAGAAAAAGGTTCAGAGGCTGTGAAAAGATCCACGGAGAGGTCAGGCATCCATCTGTTCAGTGTGACTGGAGTGATGGATGAAAGTCAGCAGGGGCCGAAATGAAGTGGATGTGGAGATGATACGCCATGTTAAGGTGATGATCTGCCATGAAAAGGAATTAAAGTTTTCTCCCAGAAATCTGTTTCTTAAACTTGATGGTTGACAAAATGCTAGCAGCATTGTGGGCTACGGTTTCAGTGTATTATTAGCTAAGTTTCTCCTATAAATTTGACAGATGCAGCTTCTAAACAATCAGTTTGTCATGGTATGACTATACTCACTGATGAATTATAAAATTTAGTGTTGATGTTCATTTTAATGTAGCAGGCCTCGTATACCTTCAGAAATTAATACTGTATTTTAATAATGCTTTTTTATGGGTTGTCAGAAGGTGATAAAAATGAAGAAAAGTGCTTGTGGGGTTCTGAGACTTTGCAGGATAGAAGAGAAATGCATTCCTATAAAAATGAGATTCCTTTGTTTCCTTTGAGTATTAAAAAAATCTACTATTAGAGAATTAAATTTCCCTAGTTTTATTTGATCTTTTCTTTGGTTTATAAGTGTATACCTTTAAAAATCCGAGTAATAGTTTTAAGTTGATTAATTACACTTGATTTTTTAAAAAGAAATCTTATTTTTTAAAGGATTTCAGATGATTAATTATCTTTTGTGTTTGTTTTGGGTCTGTGTTAACTACAGCTTACATCTATTCATTTTTCAACTTAATGAAGTTAATCAGTCTTTTATGGTGCTCCTGCTTAGTGTTTTTATATTTCCTTATCTATAATTCAGTGAGAAGTGTAATTTTTAAAAGAATTGTGTTCAGAAAAGGATATTTATGCAAGTTTCAGACAGAGGCTTAGTCATAGCCATGGAATGCAGTGAACAGTATGAATTATAAAGGATGTGAACTATCTTTAAAGTGTGAATTCATGGCTATGTCTGCCAGCAAATCTGTTTTTATAGTCCATGCATATTTGTTAAATATTAGTTGTTGAGTGAATAAAAATATTGTTTAAAAATTGCAAATTCAAAATCAGAACAAAACATTTTATGGCTCTATAAGGTATTTTCTGCATCATGCATTTCATTCTGAATTATATTATATTTTATTTACTTTACACCTTGTGTATATTTGCGTAACTATCTCTGCAAAGCAGTCTTGAATGTTTTCCTTCCCATAGTGCTGGCTTGCATATAGTTAACACTTAGGATTTGTTGGATTGAACTGCCATTCTCCTATATTTTCCAAAGATGTACTATTCTTTGAAAATACCTCAAATTGCCTAATTATGGTCATCACAGCCTCACTGTTTCCTGTTCTTCAACTGACAGTATAAAGCACGAGCCTCCTAAAAATTAATGTACTGGGTCCTGTGCCAGTGAAAAGAGGGAATGATTAACTGTACATGGAAAGGCTTCTCAGAGGAGCTGACATTTGAACTAAGTTGTAAGGATGATGAGTACCAGGCAGAGAAGAAAAGGTAAGGACAAGTCAGGCGTATAGTATGAAAAAAGGTCTGGAGTCAGGTAAGGGCATGCGTGGCCTCTGGGAAAGGGACACCCAGATGTAGGTTATGTACTGCACAAATATGCAGGCACTGCAGATTATGTAAATGGCAGAATGCAGTGTCTTTAGACTATATTTATATAGGTGGAAATTTTGGAAATTTATCTTCTTCCTTAGATTCAAATTGCTTTTGTCATATGGGCAGAAAGAGGTCTAATGAGACACTGTTTTTATTTAAGAAAATATTCATCAAAGGGCTTTTTTTTCCCCCAGTGAAGAAGAAAATATGTTTTAACCACAAACACTGGGATTTAAATCACATGAAAACAAAGAAACTGAATCTCGAGTACTCCATACTCCTGGGAATCAATAGTCTTCCTCTATTCTTAAATGCTTTCATGGTGTTTTCATTTTATTATATAGTAAAAATAATGATCACAGTAGTTTGGGCTTCCCGTAATTTTCCACCACTCAACCAGTTGTTCAAGTGTTTTTTGTACACATTGAACTATTTCTTGACAGTATCACTTGATGAAGTTTACCTTCTTCAGCCTGGCTACACTTTTAACCCAAACAAATTTGTGTATCTATTTACAGTACAGCACTTTCCCCAGATTTCCACCATTCACTGAGCTTCATCCTTCAACAGGATTTTTTAACTGAGTTGGCATGGTGTTGTTTGCTTAATGTTTGGATAAGTAGTGCTGTCTGGTGGTTAATTAAGTGCATGGACTTTTGGATCTAGACTGCTGGGACAGAATCCTGGCTTAACCACTTACTGGATTTATAACTGTGAGAAAATCCTCTCTCCTTGTCTTAGTTGTTTCATTGTCAGATGGAGGTAATATTACCTATATTGTAAAGTTATTGTGAGGCTTAAATGTGTTAATACATGTACAACTCTTAGAATGGTGCCTGGCATGTAGGTAGCGAGCACTCTATGTGCTATTGTTATTTTCATGACATTGTTCCTGGCTAAGTTTCCCCGCCTCTTTTTAAAAATGTTATCTTCAAAACAATTTTAGACGTTTATCTGGAGTATGTGTGATTGATTTTTAAAAATCACTCCAAGGGTGATGGTTTTATGCAGTTAATACTTACGATTTTTCTTGCTCAAAAGATGTCAAAGTTTAGGATCTCTTTGCATCTCTACAGTGACAAAACCCATGTTTTAAACAAACATCCAAGTTCATCCTCTTCTCCATAGATTGACTGCAGCTTCCTGCAGACTCACTAATTGTGCTTGGGGTGATGCTTTCATTTCCTCTCCCTCAGCGTGCTAGTGAACCTTAGGGATAACCTGGGAGAGTTCTGGTTCTGAATTTCCTTTGTGATTTTGCATTTTTCACCAACTTCAACTTCCATGTAAAATGTTCTACTTTTAAGCCCCATCCATCTTTCTACTTGAAAATTACCTAGTTGAAAATACTAAATCACAAAATACCTGGTTGAAGATACAAAGATTACACATTATTTCCACTTTAGTACCACAGCCTTTTCCAAAATATATTTCTTGATACTAGTATATTTTATAGTAAGAGAAGGACTCTAGCCAAAAATATATCTTGGGACAAACAGTCAAACAATACTCAACAGATTTATTTTCTGTTTTAGTTTTTAGACTTTTGCCTGTGCCAGTCTGAATCCCCATGAGGAGTGCCTAATATTTAGCGGTTTTCAAATGTGTTTATTGTTGGGATCTTTCTGTGCAGTTAGGGTTCTGTGGGAAATGCTGAACTGTGTTATCATCTTGCATTCCTCCTGCCATATGCCTCTACTTCATTTCCTTCAATTCCAGCCTCAGCAGTATTATTACCAGAGTGGTTTTTAAAAGGTGGTACGTGGGTGTGGTGTGTGGTCAAGCTCTTCTTTTAGCCAGTCTAGCTTTTATTAGTTTCGCCCAGAAACTTGTAGGGCTTTTGGTTGTCTTCTTAACCAGTATTTCAGAGTCTTCTCTGCCCTTGTGCACGTTCTCCAGGATTCCCCCAGAGATTTACCATGGCTATCTTTCTTTAATGGGAGATAATAGTTCTGTTTAATTTATTGAAAATATTTGTTAAACATCTAATTTCTGTGAGACGTTAAATGGAGATCGTTCATATTAAACTGATTGAAGAAGTTTGGAAAATAATTGAATTTATATACGTACTTTTGCCTTTTAAATTTTTTATTTTTTAAAATTTTCTTTCTCTAGTGCTCTTTTGAAGATGACAACATCCGTTCCTTATTAAAACCTTTAGAACTGGAACTACAAAAAACAGTGCATACATACTGTGGAAAAATTTACAAAATATTTATCAAACAACTAGCAAAAAGTGTAAGAGATCGTTATGCCACATCACCAAAGGAAAAGTGATTCTTGGTGACTGCTAAATCAAATGAATGAAAACAACAAAGAATCAGAGGACAAGTGTGAAGGAATCGTCTTGGATGAAGTATTCAGGAAGGAATTATTCATCTCCAGAATAATTTTTTTCCCCTAAAGAAGTTAAATGAGCAGTATTTTCAGGTAATGAAGAATAAGTTAAAATCTTGGGCCTCAACAATGAAACATTTTTTATCTCTGATATTTTGTAATGTAACTATCATTCCAGTATTGATGAAAATATTATTGAATGGTTTTAACCTGCAGACTTCTGTTGACTCATACTCTCAAGAGTGGTAGGGGTGTGTAGATGGAGAAAATGTACCTCAAACAGTGCAAACACTCAGACTGTGAGTAGAGCAATAATTTTATGTCAGCACTAACCTCACTTTAAATGTGTGAGAAAAAAGTTTGTTTACAGGAGCAGAAACAGTTCTGTTTCTAAAGAAATGTGACGTAACTGATGTAACCATTGACAATCTATGTGTGCCTTTATACATTTCATCTCTGTTTTAAAATATTTTTATGACAATCATGTTTAAAATTATTTTTAGATTATAAGTAAGCTGCATGTTAAAAATTGAACTGTGTAAGGTAGAGGAAAAATACTGAAAACTTTGGGGTTTTAATCTGTGTGTGCGCATTTGTGTGAGAGAGCGAGCGAGCGAGAAATGTAGTGTTTCATTTTGTATGCATTAAACTGTCTTGCCAAAACTCAGATTTAAGATTGTTAAATAGATATTTGGGAATTTGTTTTAAATCACTTTAAATGAAAAACGTCAGCTTTACTGGGCATTCTGGAAGCAAAATGTATTATGCTGATGATAAAATGAGAACCTTAAGAGTATACTCATATGATGGTGGAAAATGTGATGGACCAAAATACATAAGCTATATACTTTCTGTGAGTAGTAATTTTAGTTACAATGGAGTAGAAAAATGTGGTCCATTTAAACTTGTCTTCTACCTCATAATAGCCTTGCAAGATGCTTTTGAAGAAGCAAATATCTAGAGCCTTACTTTAAGTAAGTTAAACAACTTAAGTGGATGATTTGGATTAAGATTGTTACATCCACCTATAGAAAATGTGGTTTTAATTGGGTTGATGTGCATATCTTCCTTTTTTGAGTGTCACTTAAGACAGTTAATTTTTTTTTAAATCTTGAGAAAAATATTGTTTCTTTGGCATTCTTGACCTGTTATCTAATATAAATATAGACTCTGAATACTTAGCATATACTATGCTGGGGCACATATCTTATTTTACCAACAGCATGATTATCTATATGGTTATCTTCTTTTTCTCTCTGATATTTTAATGCTCAAGTAGAAAATTGAAAATCATGAAGGAAAAATATCACCAGTGAAAATCGTGGCAGTTAGTTTTGTGAAGACACAGTGACCTCTGTGGAGACATGGAATGTGCAGAAAGAGATGGTTAGTACAGTTGTTCTGTTATCTGCAGTTCAGTCAGGGGCAAATTGAGAGAGGAAAGTTTAAGCAAGGTGCATTAGAAGTTGATAACCAGCCCAGCATTCTTAGAACAGATGGGTTTAGAGAACACAAGTTGTAGTTCCTTGGCAGAATGCCGTGGTGGATATAAGAAACTGTGAAATTGAGCGTACTGAGTAGAAAATGAGAATACTAAAAATGTAAAGTTTGGAGGGTATGTATGAGATCTTTTCTAATGGTCCTCAAATAGATCATTGCCTGCCTGACTATATAAGATTCTTGTTGGGAGCTTAAGAGTAGATTCCTGAGCTAGGACTTTGGAGACTGTGGCATGCTGTATCTAGGATGGAGTCTGTAAAAAAGTTTCTAATGAAGAGATTTAAAAATTATACAAAACTAGAATAGTGCACAACATCCAGATCTGACACTTACCACTATCTTACCATGTTTGCGTCGTCATTTTTTTCTTTGCTTAAGTATCTTAAAATCCCAGACATCGTGTTATTTCACTGCTGTGAACACTTTAAGTAGATACCATGATATCACACCTAACAAAAGCAGCAGCAGTCCTTCGGCTTCATCTCATAGCCAGATTTCCCTGATTATCTCAAATATGCCATCTTCTAGTTGGTTTGTTAGAATCAGGGTACAGAATATAAGTCACATGATGATTTTGTTTTTAACAGTCACCTCAGACGACTTTGATGTTAGCTACTGTGGGAACCACTGGAAATTATTTTGCCAACTTGAAGTTAGGATACCACAATTCTTGGCACAGTTGGTAGATTATAAATGTGATTTTGAAATATTAGAGGAAGCATTTGGGGTTAATGACAAGATATGAATTTATATTAGTAAGTTCGATAAGATTTAATTTCCTCAGTGAACGGAGAGTCTCAGCCCCATGGGCTCTAGTTGATTGGGACTTGTATAGAGCGTGGTCACAGTTGAATCCAACTGGACTGTATGCTGTGGTCTCACTCATGGTGTGGATTATTTACACTGTCACACACTCTACATGGTGGATCAGTTGGAAGGTTCTTCATCTGGTTTATTTAGACCTGACCTGATTGATCGTTTTACCATAAATTGAATTAATAGTGAAAGCTCTCTTTTAGGTACTGTTTCTGCCTAAAATTAAAGGTATCACAAAATGTGTATAATAATTTTTAAATGAATTTTCTGAATTTATCTTTAGACAAGGTAATTCTTCTTTTGAATTCTAAAGAAATGCAGTTCTTGGAGTTGATGAGAGGTTGAATTATAGATGGACAACTTAGAGAATGTATTCCATTTTCATATAAATGGTCTTTCATAAAACATATATCTATGCAGTTTATATAAATTACATGATTTATTATTTGAGTCTATGTATTTTGACCTCAGAACTATCTCTGGGCTACAGTATTACCAAAGTGGGATGCCTTTAAAATGCAGTCAGACTTCATTTGTGTGAAGTAGAAAAGAACTTGGGAAACCTTTAAAAATATATATTGTGATTTACGCTTTAAGAAAGTGCATACTTTTTTCTAATGAAGAGTAGTTCATAATATATAAGGGTTTTAAGGCCCTGAAATAATAATAGTGCTTACTCATTGCTCTCTCATCTTGCCTCCAGTCAGATGTTATTGGTATAGTGAAAAGAAGACCAGATTGTGAACTAGATCTGGATTCTCTTCTTAGTTACTCAGGCATGTTATTTAACCTTCTCTGTGCCTTAGGTTTTAAAGTACAATCAGTGTACCCTTCAAACCTCACAAGATGAGACTCAGAAGAGATAATGGATTTGGAAGCATTCTTTGTGGCTTATGTTAGGCCACACCAGTGTTACTTTTGAAGTTCTGTTTTGTTCTGTTGTTTTCTGTACAGAGCGTTCAGTTTACTCAGGCTGAATGTTTTCTGACATATATCTCCAGTATGAATTTGTTTATTTTATGTAAGGAAGAGTTTTTCAGGAAGAGAAAGTAGAGAAGAAAAGAATGATGTAACTAAATCAAAAAAGAAGGAAAAGAGAGGAAGTGATAAAAGGGGTGAGGAAAGAGAAAGGAGTAAGAATGGGAATGGCAAAGGGCAGAGGAAGAGAAAAGATGGAATGCGTGTATGGAAAATTGAGAAGTAGAGATGGAGAGAAATGGTGTGGAAACATTTACTTTTTGAGTTGTAGCCCTCATGCTACATCCGTTTGCTTGCCTAGGCTCTCTGGGGTCAGGAAAGGTGCTGACTTCCATGGAATGGGGCAGCAGGGCCTGCTGTATTTGATTTGTTAGTACTAGAGTTGTCTCCCAATCACCCAACTTACTGATCATTTAGTCCCAATTCAACATTTTGTGTGTGTGTGTGTTTTTATTTTAAAATTTTTATTATTTTTATGTTTTATTTTTTACTGGATCCCAGTTTGTATTTCCCTGTGGAAATACAAGTATCTTCCTTTTTAGCGTTATCGTTTTATCTATCCCAAGTGTTAGACTGCAAGACTAACTACATATTCCCCAGTGAAGGTTGGAAGTGGAGGGGACTGCTTCATTAGATCTGAAGGTGGCCCAGGAATGTGTTGCAGCAGTTTTCCCAGATGATACTGATGAGAGGCCAGGTTTGGGAATCACTGCCCAACCTTGGATGGCAAATTAAACTAAATTACACCAATTTATTCCTCAGTCAGGATACTTTCAGTTGAACCATTCTGAGTAGATATAAGAGGACAAAAGACAGCAGAAATACCTTAAAAGATATTATTCATTGTCTTATTTTTCACATATTTGTATTTAATAAATACCTTAGCAGTAATCAGAACTTCTTTGAGATGTTTTTAGGAAGGCCACTGATTTGTTTCTTAAAATAATTTTTTTGGTTCCTTAGAGTAGAGAAGAAAAGTAGGGGTGCAGTATGTCAGGTGTGGGGCCAGTTACCCATTTATTAAATGCAGTTTCAAATGTCTTAAAACAATAATTGCCTTATTGCATTTTAATATTTAATAAAGTAGATTAAATAAAGATTTGTATTATAACAGTTATTCTTTTATACAATGCCAAAGCAACCCTTTTTTGCCTATTAAAGTCTGGCTAAACTGTTCTGATGTTGTTGTTTCTTAATTCATTAAACATGAAACTAGGTTTTACAAAATTATATAAACTTAAGACAGAAATCTAAAAATGGTACAAGAAAATTCTTTTTTTAAAAAAACAAATTAATATGTTATTCAAATATTTAGCAATTAAAGACTAATGAGAAAAACAGAATAGCATATTGGATGTAACAGTTTAAAATGGATTGCATATCAATGTCAGACTTTTAAATAGAAAATATTTATTATCACCTCATTTCTACCAGTAATTTCAAATGTTTAATGGGACTTTGAAAAAGATAAGAAAAAATAGAAATGAAAATTTCTCTCATCATTAATACTGTGAATACTATTTGGAAGGTCCCTGGTCAGACATTTAAATATCAAACTGAAGAACTGATTTGGAGCCTTTGATTATATTTAGTTTATATACAGAATCTGAATATTTACACACATAGCACACTATAGCAACCTCTTGTAAAAAATCGTGAAGATAATGCAGCAGTATAGTCTATTAAAAAGTAAATTGGCTGGGTGTGGTGGCTCATGCGTGTAATCCCAGCACTTTGGGAGGCCGAGGAAGGAGGATTGCTTGAGCCCAGGAGTTTGAGACCACCCTAGGTGACAAAGTGAGACCCCATCTCTACAAAAAAGTTAAAAAATTAAAAAATTATCCAGGTGTGGTGCCATGTGCCTGCGGTCCTAGCTACACGTTAAGGTGAGGCAGGAGGATTGCTTGAGTGCAAGAGTTTGAGGCTGCATGAGCCAAGATTGCACTGTTGCACTCCAGCCTGGGTGACAGAGTGAGACTCTGTCTCAAAAAATAAAGGAAATTGGCTTTGACTATGAAAAATAGCCATTTTCAACCTTTTTATAAAACTTCAGGGAATATTGGAATATTATTTTGTCAGGCAAAAATAATCCAGGGCTTGAGCATTGCTGTAGAATATGTTATCTGTTCAAAACTTAGCAGAGCACACATGCATCACATGCATTGTCATCGATATTTGAGAGCTCTACCAATGGTTTTTGATGGATGCTGTAACAGAAGGTCCATGAAGAGGATGGTGGTTTGCACCTATTCCTCAAGTCAGAAACTGGAAAAGGTTGCAGGTATTTCAATTTTCCCAATCATTTTGCATAAATGTATTAATATTTTGAGTAGTAATAGTTCTAAAGCTGCAGGAAGGCATCATTGTATACTGTGATATGTAGAGAATACTACTCTTACACTGCTCTTTATCTTAAAATGTTTTGGTATACTGTGAACATTTTCCTCTATTTGGTGTATTTTGACAGTTTTTAAAGGAGAATATAAAATTATAGATTCTGGTCTAAACTAAGAATAATGGAAAGTTGCTTCATCCTGCCTTAGAGGAGTTTTCAGTTCATCCTCTTCTTGAGGAACGATGTGTTGCTGTTACTAAATAAACATTTACTCAATAAACATTTTATTTCCTTAAATTATGTGTCTGGATTATTTTAGCAATCAAAAACAATTGTAGAATCTTTGGGATTGAGGTGCTTGAGAACCAGGAGTCGAGGTGGAGGGCGGTTCCTGGATTGGCTAATTCAGCAGCTGAACATTGTCATCAAGAGCCTTAGTACCTTCTGCCTTTCATTGCCATTCTCACCAAGTGAGTCTGATGTCTCCCCTTACGGCTCCAAAGTGACCACAAAGGTTCCAGGTGGTGGATGATAAGAGGCTGAAATATATATATGTGTGTGTGTGTGTGTATATATATATATATATTTTTTTTTTTTTTCTTTTTTATAAGAGGAAGGTTTCTCCAGCCCCCATTCACTTGCTCTCATGGCCACAGCAATGTGCATTATCTCCAAAGCAGTCACTTTTCAAAGGGAATAAAGCTCCTATGATTGGCTCTGACCATGAAGATTTGCCCTTGAAATTAAAAATGACCTCCCCTTGATGAATAGCTGCTCAGACAAAGGGGAACAACTTCCAGGTTCTGGATAAAGTTGGTGGGGTAGGAGTTTATAGGGAGTTTGGAACATAGCTGTTCGGTGGGCAACAGACCATGTGTTGTTTTACTGACCCAAGTATTTCCTATAATTTTCAGGTGGATCAAATTTCACATCTAGAGAAGAGCACCCTTTTCCATCACAGAAACTAGTTTTGCTTTTAAAAGTCTCTGTAGGCTGGGCATGGTGGCTCATGCCTGTAATCCCAGCACTCTGGGAGGCTGAGGCAGGCGGATCTCAAGTCAGGAGATCAAGACCATCCTGGCCAACATGTTGAAATCCCATGTTTACTAAAATACAGAAGATTAGCCAGGTGTGGTGGCATGTGCCTATAGTCCCAGCTACTCGGGAGGCTGAGGCAGGGGAATAGCTTGAACCTGGAAGGCAGAGGTTGCAGTGAGCTGAGATCATGCCACTGCACTCCAGCCTGGCGACAGAGCAAGACTCTGCCCCCCTCCCAAAAAAAAAAAAAAAAAGTAGCTGTAAGGCCAGGCAAGGTGGCTCAAACCTGTAATTCCAGGACTTTGAGGGGTTTGAGGTGGGAGGATCACTTGAGCCCTGGAGTTCGAGACCAGCCTGGGCATCATAGTGAGACCTCCCCTGTGTACAAAAAATATAAAAATTAGCCCAGTGTGGGTGGTGGCACACGCCCGTAGTCCCAGCTACTTGGGAGGCTGAGGCCAGAGAATTGCTTGAACCCAGGAGGCAGAGGTTGCAGTGAGCCGAGATCATGCCACTGCACTCCAGCCTGGGCTACAGAGTCAGACTTTGTCTCAACTAAGATGAGAATCATGTGTACTAAAGAAAATTTAATAGAAAATAAGTCTCTGTAATGTTACAATCGATCAGTTTTCAGTTTTGTATATTTTAATTTTTATACTTTCTTTGTCGCAATCATAAAAGGTTTCAAAAGACTGGAGGTGATGATGGCTTCTGAGGAGAGTTTAAAAGTCCCTTTAAATTTGTGATGAAAATGTATTTGCAATCTTTGTCATGTTTTAAAAATTATTTTTGTAAATTAAAAGTTCCAATTGAAACAATAAAAAAATACAGAAGAGTTAAAAGTATATTATGTGAAATATGAAGGAACTTCCTCACCATCTACAACTAAAACATTTGGTTTCTTCCCAGTCTTGTGTTATGTACGTGTACATACAGGAACACAAAAATGTGGCTGTAAAATGATTTCTGCTTTATGCACTGTTGTATAATTTGCCTTTTTTCACATCATCTGTGACATCTTAGTACATTAGATCCACCTCACTCTTCTTCATAGCTGTGATTATTGTATAGTAGTGTCCTTAAATAGAGTACTACACAGATTTCTGAAGTACAAAAGTGTAAGTAAATGAGTTAACTTGATAGGGGAAGTAGAAACGAACCAGTTTCTCATTTTTTGCTTAAATTTGATTTAACTTAAGGAACATCAGAGTAAAACTGTAGTGTAAGTATCAAAATAAATGTTAAATTTTTTAAAATTAAAAGTGAAATTTTCTACAGTTTGATACATACCAATAGGTTAGTGCAAACGTTATTTTTTTATTTTGCCATTTTAATGTTTAATGGCAAAAACCGCAGTTACTTTTGCAACAACCTAGTAGGTAGCAATACTTGATTTTGTGAAACTGGTGTGGCTGATAAATGTTACTTCAAGGTTCTTTTCCATATGTATTTTTAAAATATTTTGAACAGTTTAAAAACTATTTGTGGTCTGGATGTGGTGGCTCATGCCTGTAATCCCAAGCACATTAGGAGGCTGAGGCAGGAGGATTGCTTGAGACTAGGAGTTTGAGACTAGCCTGGGCAGCAAAGTGAGATCCCATCTCTATAAAAAAAGTTTTAAATGAGCTGGGTATGGTGACTTGCACCTGTAATCCCAGCTACTCTGGAGGCTGGGGCAGGAGGATTGCTTAAGCCCAGGAGTTTGAGGCTGCAGTGAGCTGTGATCATGCCATTG